CTGCATTGCAGCCATGTATTGGAAACATTTTCCCATGACTGATAGCATCATGTACGAGAGATATTCACAATGCATGCTTGTGAGGTGAGCTGTGAGGAGCAAATCCGTTCTCAAAATATTTGTCCCTAAAACAGTTTTCAACCTCAGCTAAGCCTTCCTCGTCAAGCAATCCCATTTCTGCAAGTGCAGGAGATGCCAAATCCTTGAATATGATGCAATACATGATGTGGAGGTTATTCCCCATAGTCACACAAAGGGAAAAGGCATTGCTTTCGGTTCAATCCATATCTCTTTCCCTTCCTTTCCTTGCCTGCTGCTCTTCTCCACTGCTTTCCTTGTATTTCTAAAGGTAGGAAGTGCTCGTCGAGAATCCTTTATCTTTTCACATCCCTCTATTCTTCAATGTTGTTGTTTCTAGGGATGCCAATGGACTGATTTTGGGTTGGACCTGCCCGAATCAAAATTAATTTGGATGGATACCACTATTTGGTCCATTGATAGAAGATAAGAATACAAGTGTCAATGGACCAGGTTTGGGTTGGAACCAATTTGAACAGATTGGATGGTCCAAACATTAAATTGAACTGGTCCAAAATGGTTGAATATTCATCAGATTGGATTGGACCTGGTCCATCTGTAATGGACTCATATTAGACCAGATTGGGTTGACACCCCTAGTTGTCACCAAAACGATCAAAATCTGGCACCTGCATTAACAATATAAACATGTTGCAATGAATTGAACCAATTCATTGAACCAAAACGATCAAAATCTGGTACAGTTGATTATTAGGTAATAATCAAGTTATTTATGGCCCCATTCGTTTTTTTTTTTTTTTTTTCGGATTTTGAGAGGGGGGAAAGTTGGTTAATGGGATTTTGGTTCCCATTGACCAAGAATCCCATTTTTTTTTCAGATTTATGTGGGACTAGAGAAAGTTTATTTTCTTGAGTATCACTTATCGGGTAAGTGATACCCATCTCTTAGGTGGGTAAATAGCTTTCCCATCTAGGGGGAAAAGTTACCAACACTTGAATGGGACAAAAATGTCCCTTTTAATAATGGATTTTTATGGCTAAAATGGTCATTATCTTATTTACATGAAAATAAAAGAACATAGATAAATATATACCTACCCTACCTGAGTAAGTAATTTAATGAAAAGCGAACAGGACCATAAATCTAAGGAAGAGGTTTTGTACAATGGCCGCCAAGGCCCCCTGGCACAATGTCCCTCCTTTAGCACAATGTCCCTCCTTTATTGCCGCCAAGATGCTGGAACATGCCATGAATAGAGGTGGTCAATTATTTTTTATGAACATGCTAAAAATTGCCAACATTGAGTTAGGATCCCAACCCAAGGAAAGCATATAATAATCAATGGTGACTGGTTTGTGGAAAAAAGGTAATAGTATATGATGTGATGATGGTTCAAAGGATAATTGGTATCATACCATACGATACAGATCAATATCTTACCCATTTATAAAAAAAAAAAAAAAGAAATGGATGAATCGTTCGTCCAACACCCTGATTTTATATTTCCAGTCCTACCCCTTTCCTAATTTTATATTTTCAATTGTATCCCCTGAAGAGAATGGGACAAGTAGATTTTCATATTTTCAATCGTATCCCCTAAAGCAAATGAGACAAGTAAACACCCTGATTTTATATTTTCAGTCCTACCCCGTTCCTGATTTCATATTTCCAATCGTATCCCTTGAAGAGAATGGGGCAACTAGATTTTCATATTTACATATGTATCCTTTGATGAGAATGGGATAAGTGGATTTTGGGCGAACACCTTAGACTCCAACACCCTGATTTTATATTTCCAATCCTACCTCTCCTTGATTTTCTATTTCCACTATTGCCCTTATACTCTAATTTTTATGACACAACAATTCAAGTGAGGAATAAAGATAGGATATTTTTATTTATTTCTATTACCATATAAAAAATAAAATGGTAGATGGGTAATCCGATTATCTATTTCCATTATTACTCTTCTTTATTTATTATTATTCCGATTACATATCTATTTCTATTATTGCCCCCCTTTAGTCATTGTCATTCCAATTGTATTTTATAGAATTATATATAGTATTTTATATTTCCATTATTGTCCCTCCTTAGTCATTGTACCCTAATTTCTCTATAACCATTATATATTTCTATAATTTATAATAAAAATGAGGATGGTAACAATGTTTCATCAAAAAGCCTAGTTACACTTTCCCTTTTTATAGGGATGCAAATTGATCAGATCGAATTCAAATCAAGGTATATCCGAATCCGATCTGATAAATTATAGGTCCAAACCAATTCGATTGGATCTCACAAATATTGATTTAGATTCAAATTCAATAAGGATGTTGGATATTCAAATTTGATCCAATCAGATTTAATTTTTTAAAATAATAAATTGTATAAAAAATAAAATATAACAATTTAAATAAAGAAAAACAAAAAAAATGAAAGTATTTTTCAACTATTTTCATCACATATACATGTTTTTTTATAAAAAATAAATAATATAAAAATATAAATAACATATTGGATCCTTTTGAATCGGATAGGGGTGATCCGAATCCGATTCAGTTTTTAATCGGATCCGATCCAAAAATCCGTAATGAAGATATCCAAATCTGATAAAATAGGATCAAACTTTGGATCAGATAGAATCATGATCCCTCTTTACCCTCTATGTTTTTTGTTATTCCAATATTTATTTAACCTATCATTAAATGGGATGTACACTGAAACAAAGCTTTTTCCAATAAAAATGAATGCTAACCACTAACATACTAACTATCAATCAAAGTTGCATCCTTTAATTTTTACCTTCAATGTTTTTTGATGTTCCAATGTTTGATCTCTCATAAATGTGAAACTATAAAGTGGGTTATACCCAACACAGCCCGGTCACTATAGCAATTGGGCTAGCCCATACCCCCAAGTTGTGTTGGGCTTGGATTTTGAGGCTTGTGAGTCATCACAATATAGAACAAAAAAGTGGGCCATCCTAGTATAGGCTCGTAGCCCATAACGTAACAGGTATATATATATATTCAATTTTATTTAATACTATTTTATTCAAATTATATTGTAACTTTTTTTTTAATTTCATGTATAAACAATTGTATACATCAAAATTCATAAGAATAAAATTTTAAGACTTTTTCAATTTCTTGTCTATTTTGTTAATTTATTTAATTATTCATTATTTTTTCAAATTTTAAATAAAAAATCATGCCTCTCACACCTCGGCCTATGGTTGAGCCCGACTGGGCTTGTGCTACAGGCCTAATCTTTGAAGAATTTCAGGCTAGATAGGGCACGACCCACCTAGGACCACATGTTGGCACAGCACGACTTGTTAAAGCATAGACCACCCGCAAAATCTTGTAGTGTCGACACGACACAACCCACTTTATATTTTTTGATAAAATAGTGAAAAGTGCAAATTAAAGAAAATACAAAAAAGGGCACGAAAAATAATAGATAACACGCATACAAACAGATGAGAAAGTAATAGCAAAGAAATAATTATAAATTGTCAAACATCAATCGAATCATTTTTAATAGCCTAAATCCAATTTCTTCCCAAATTGTATTTTATTTATTATCCTTGATTTGCATTAATGAATTTAGTTATATTTTAACTGCTATTTTTTCATTCATTTTCACCTGTGCATCCACGGGCTTCTCCACTAGTAGCAATAAAAAGCTAAATACTAGGATTTAAGGACAAAGTGACAAGAGAGCGAGTTCAGATCTGCTGCCAACAAATCATTATGGTCACACATCATGAACATCTCCCATGTATGATAAAATGTTGGGACAGTACCGGGAGTGTGTTGTTGGTAGCAGGTCCCTTCCCCAACAGAGCATATTCGATGGTAAGTTGAAAATTGGCAGTATGGCACTATGGCACTATGGCAGGTATGTGGCTTCCATTATTTGATGTATGTGGCTTCTATCAGTATTTTACAGCTTTTAACTTTTTTTTCTTGTTCAAGAGATCGACTACTTTTTGTCCAGAATCAGAATGGCTGAAAATGACAGATTTCATTTTTTTGCATTCCAAGTATCACAAAAAAACGAACAATGGCTACAGAGGAACCCCAAATCTCGATTGACAATAGGAACTCCAGTGAAAATATTTAAAAAAGAATATAGAAAAAAAAAAACAAATTATGTATAGGCAGAACGTCCATGAGCTCCTCAAGGTAGAAATATTTTTAAGTCTTCTCGAGGTATTTGAGCTCCACGTCCGCCTCCAGACAACAATGCTATTGGTGTTCTGAGAGTAGAGAGAACTTGGAGAAAAACTGCCAGCACTCAGCAGCCTAGGTTGGAGAAAAATGTACAACTTCAACCAATTAAACAGGATGATGACACGGGTTTTGGCGTTTTGCAAATACTACGCCGGATAATTTCTAAGTCCGTTTAGGGTGTCAATAGATAATTTCTATTGCACACTTGACATCAACTTCCCACCGTGCTTACTTGTTAATAACATTCAGTTTCGATCTATTAGAACCAAAGGTAGAGAAACCAAGTTTAGAAAATTATCCTCCATTTCTGTTTCTGTGACAATTCAACATTCAAAAACGTTGAAAGGTAAGAGCAATTTAATATGCGGGGTCCAGGTGGAATGGGATGAAAAAGCATTGCTACAACCAGACTGAAGGGATCCAAATGGCCAACAAAGTGTTGCCAAATATCAGGAGACTATTCCACAATCCAACAAAGAGGGTTTGTGACCTTAAGTATCATTGTTTCGCTCCTGAAGTTTGTAAAACCAATTGCTTTGACATTTGAACTAAACAATCATGCAAAAACATTCAGCTCCCTGAAGGAGAAAGAGAAAATCATCAAAGGGGAGAAAATGACTGAGAAAAAAAAAATAAGGAAAACAACCTTGATGCAGAGTGAAAAGAGAAGACCAGAAGCATGGCATGATAGAGAAAGAGGAAAACTGAACCTCAAAATTCTATGGCTCTACTGCTGTCACCTGTTGCCATTCTCCATTTTCTGCTTCTTTCCACAATGTAACATTGTTGTTCCCATCAGCCGCAGCCAATATGCTTCCAGTCAATGACCATGAGACTCTCCAAACTGGGTTCTTAAAATCTTTCATTATCTTACCCTCCCATTTCTTTTCACCATCTCTGGTCAAGGTCCATATAATAACCGTCCCATCTTGTGAAGCATTGGCTATGGTCGACTTGGGGAGCCCTAAGTTGGGTGCCCAAGCCACATCCCGCACCCAATCAGTGTGCATCTGAAGAGCAGGAAAGCAATCCAACTTCCAACTTCCACTCTGCAGCTTCCACACCTTCATAGTATTATCACACCCACTAGAGACGAGCTTTTGAACAGGCTGGAGCATCCCGGTGTTAGACAGTTTTGTATGCCCTTAGTTTCAATCTGATTTGATGTACTTTTGATATTTAGTGTAAATAAATTAAGTGCATGTTTGATTCATGTTGTTTGGTATGATTCTGTGTAAGACCCCAAAACTGGACACTTAATGAGACTCGTGTTAGTTTTAAATGTTCACAGCCATTGGATAAGTCTAGGGAGATTTATCCAGCCAAGCCTGATACTGGTGTGCTGTCAAGTGTTGGGATGGCCTGTCTCGGCCACCAGGGTAAGACCCAAGGCACATGTAGTATGGAATTACTCGAATCCTTGAACCGGACCATATTTCCAATATTGCCCTGGACCTTAGAGACAGATGGGCAAAACTGGAAAGTTACACCTGACCCCTAGACTCGATTATGATACTTCACTAGGTGTCGGATTGGGCTGTCTTTGATATGTCAATCAGTGAGATCCTTAGCGGGAGTCAAAACCTGGGCATGTTGGGGCAGTCTGAGAATTCATCTCAGTGGGTGATCATAGTGACAGGATCAGCCC